TTTATAGGGGTGGGAGTAAGTACACACAGTGTCTCTGCTCCCAGCCCACCTCGGTATTTCTGCCGCAGCTGCCAACTTGCTATTCAATCCAAAGTAGTATGTGTTTTAGGTGAAATATTTACTCCCTCTTCCACAAGAAGCAAGAGTGATTTGCTGTAATGTCACAAAAACAGCAGCCTACAAAAGACTAAAGCCCATGCACGGGACATATTTGCCAAGGAGGGATTAAAAAAAAAAAAAAAAAAAAGTCCCATAAGCTGGCCAGGGCTTGCTGAAGGGCCAAACCCCTGAGAGCTTCAGCCTCTTCTGCAGATGCAGAGGTAACATTTGCCTCAGTTGACTCATTTTGATTCAGTTAAGGCTGAGAAACTCACTGGAAGTTGTAAAAGCAGTAAGTCTGCTGCTGTCTTCCTCCAAACACGGGATCTCAGGTGAGAGCTTGGCTAAAACACAGGTTTGGGCGCCTTCCCCTGCTTACCCTGGCCCCAGGGACCAGAGCTGAAGAAGAACCTGCACTGATTTTAAATTTGTTCATATGACCAATGTCAGACCTCTTATTTTTGTGTATGAAAACTTTATTTAAAGACTCTGCCATTTTGAGAAGTCCTACTATTTGAAATCTACTCCACACATTTCAACTGCAGAAAGCCTGGAACAGGTACCAGATATGAACAACTCCAGTCTAATCAGTCACCTTCTCCTATTTGCTGTAAAAAAGTCATAAGAAAACAGGAAATACTGTAAAACCTTTCTTATCCTGCCTCTGCTTAGAGCAGAGCCATATTTTAATAACTATTAATTGTGAAACTGCTTACCTATGAAGAGATTTTCAAATAAATCATTACTCAATTTTCTGATCCACTGGAGATAAGCCACTTAAAACTCTTTACAATAGGGGACAAAAGAGGAAGGTTAGTAATGCAACAAGAAAAAAAAACAACCACCCACACATTTTTAAACACAAGTTCACGTCTAGCTGAGAAGCAGTAAGAGTCCCTACCATATATTCTGTGCTAGAAGTTATTTGCTAATTCCAGGCACAGGGGTCAAAATGAATGCCAGCTATAAATTTAACTATCAGGCAGCAGGGGACAAAGACAAATCTAAATGACAGGACCATTCTAGATCAAAGAATCAGACTGGAGGCCCAAAATACAGGAGACAAAACTGGTGTTAAAGCAAAACAAACAAACAAAAAAACCCACTACATCAAAATCGTGATTTGTTTTTCACAGCCGAAGTCTGTTGCAGAAACAGAGGTTCAAAGGGTTGTCTCTCTCTAGAAACAAAAAGCCGCATACATTTGGGGACACAACAAAAAAGATAGTAACAAAAACTTTTAAACCAATGACAACTTTAACTTCCACATTCTAGGATATCCCAAGGTGTCTGTGGCTACACACACAGCAGTTACTGTGAAAAGTGCCCACATCTGCGAGTCAGGCTGAATCTCTCTCATTTCACTCATCCATTTGTTTTTTATTTGAAATACTTTCATATTTTCTCCCTCAAAATTATCGATCAAAATACATTCCTTCAGTTTCTTCTATTGAACAGACTGCCTATTGATAAAATCAGTATATCCAAACACATGGGCCTGATGTCATCTTTCTCCAGGTCAACTTAAAATACCCAATTTTTCATTTACTTAAGAGAGACATGTGGCTTGATATGATTAAGCTATTGCAGTACCTAAACCACCCCCCCAAAACAAAAATAAAGAGCAGCTCCATTCATTTCATTGGGGGAAAACATGACATCATGTCCCATTCAGGTAAGCAAGAATATGACAAATCTTGCCCCAGTGAACCGTATCGTTAACTGCAATGGTACTCCCAGCTTCCTCATCTATTAGGAAAATGAGGGGTAAAAATCATGTGTTCAGCACAACAGAGACAGCTCAAACTGCTATTTTCAATAATAAAGGAACAAATTCCTACCGGGCTGATAGAAAGAAAAACACATCTCTTCTACATCTCAAAAATCAAATTAAATTATTTATTACTGTAACACAGCAGAAGAATTGTTTGATTACCCCACAAGGAAGAAAAAAAAAACTACAATTGCCTAGAAGGCAAAAAATACGATTCTGCTTCTTTATACTATCTCTAGTAATTCTTATGTCATTCCCTGTATATTCCATATATATCCATTCTCCATTGCCATTCCCTTCCCCTTTAAAAAGGGGGCACAAGAAGATAACGTGCAAAATTGCAACTGAAAAATGTCTAGCACACTGACAAGCAAAAGGACAGGCCACCTATCAGATGTATATGCAGTGATGGATAAATTGAGGTTTCACGTTTCCTCTTCCCTTCTCTCAGCATCATTTTTTCAGCCCTTTCACATCACAAATGCAACATCCATCTGTCCCTCTGAAATAAATGGCGAAAGGGTAACACTGACCATTAAACACACACACACAAACACACACGCTTCAAAAAAAGACATTTTCATCTAAATACTTACAAGGATTAAGATTTCCTATGTGATGCTCCATTTTCTTGTTTTAAAAAGATGGAAGGCAAAAAAAAAAAAAAAAGGAAGCGTTGCAAAATAAAAGGAAATTCCACCCACACAATCCTGCAGCCTGCTGCAAAGAAGCACAGAAGCGTGCTGACGTCACGGATTCATGAATGGATGTAAATCGGGCTGTTTCGAGATTCGGCGGCGCTGGCTGGGGCTGCGCACCGCGAGAGAGAGAGAGGGGAGCAGGGGGGCAGCCAATCCACGCAGGCACCGCCAGCCGCCTTCTGCCAGCAAAAATCTGGGCACCAAACAGCCCGAGCCCACCACCGAGCCGCCCCGAAACGCGGGGCTCCCCCGCCAGCTGGGAAGGCTGCGCGCCTCTCTACTACGTGCGCGAGGCAGGGGAGAGGACGCGGAAAACAATTTGTTCGTAACTGAAGTGAAGCTGTTGGGTAAAATGGCATCACTGCTGCCATTCCGCGGCGAGGACCGGGTGAGGACATCCTCTAATGCCTTCAAGTCATTGCTCCGGCGAGTTTCTGCCCCTGTGTACAGCTTGGATAACAACAGCATATCAAATAACAGCCATCTGTCATATGAATCAAATGTATTTAGTAATCAGAAAAGGAGTTTATCATCTCTCTGGCTTCTGTCAGGATTACAAACCCTGGGTATTATTATTAAAATAACTAAGTATAAGCATGTACTGGAAGGAAGCTGCAGGGAGAACAATAGGAGGCTTGTATTTGATTAGTGATGCAAAAGCACCAACAAAATAAAAATAGGAGCACTAACAAAATCACGCATTCAGCTCTCATCAAACATTCCCAACAGCGGGCAGACAAGCTCACAACGTCAGAAACATTCAGAAACAAAAATCGGAGCACGCGTAGTTTCACACTTGAGACTACGTAATGAACAGTGGGCACAACATTCATGTATCACAGCCTACCAGCCATTTTCATTTCATTTTCAAATCCATGCCAATGAATATACTTAATTCCGCATACCAGATGCAAGGGCGCAGGGCGTCATTTTGGACGCCCAAATAGATAACAATGTCCTGGTGAACACATGCAAGAGTGGCTATGATTAACTTTGATCCGGACAGAGGAAGAGCACAAGTTTTGCCTTTTTTTTGTATCTTTGAAATATGAGGGAAGGAGTGGAGGGATGAGCATAACCAGGAATTAAGGTCAAGGTTTCAAGGAAAACCTGGGCTGTAAGCTATGCAATTATACCATCTCAGGGTTTACCAGGATTCATCAATCTGATCTCTAAAACTCCTTCTAAACAATTTGTATCCTCCAAATTATTAAGAGCCAGAATTTCCATATTTTCACCACCCCTTTTCCTAGCAAGTAGGAAGCAATTATGCAAAAATAGAATGTCCCAAAACATACTCTGGTGGAGCACATCTTAAGAGAATCACACCTTTCCTTATGGAAACTGGCTAACATCCCAAAATAAACCAGGACTGGATGTAACAACAATGCGGATCTGGGTTTAGAAAACAAGGATTTAGTGCTACTTGATATCATGTGAGCCAGCACCACTGATACTAGCTTGTGTGGAGGGAGGAGAAGGGCAGGATGCAAAAGCCTTTCTGGAAGCTAATACAGCCACACCTACAGAGACAATACTTACCTAAAAATGTACTGATATGAGGGGATAGGAAGGCATTTGCATGTATTAAGACAGTAATTTTTTTTTTTTAATGCATCTTTGACATGGAGCAAGGAACGGACAGCCAGGGCAGTACAGCCAGTTCTTCTCTTCTCCAGTTCCGTCATGCCAAAAGACACCATTGGGGAGTCAATGGACTCCTACATCTGCTGCTCAGCACATCTTTGTCTCTTAGTTGTACCATAGCATATTATTAGATACTATCACTCCAGCAAAGAGTTGCAATGATAGGAAAGTATTAGTATCCTCTGAATTTCAACAGCAGCCATAATAAATTGAGCTTTGATTTTGGACTTTGGTTGTTGAATTGAGCTTTATAAAGCTGGCCAGAGAAAATTAAAATTAATGCAAATTTCTTGTTATCTACTTTCAAGATCAAAGACAGTGCAGGTTAACTTTTACCGAAGAAATATCTACTCTTTAAGAGCTAAAAGTCACAAAATACAAATCATGAGATTTCTACCCAGACAATGCAACCGCTACAGATTGAGTGCTACTATACAGAAGGAGAAGCAGGAGTGGAGGTATAGTGAGACACATGTCTTCAAAGGGATCACTTCACGTCACGATTTCAAACCCCAGTTGCATCAGGTTACTTAGTTCGGAGGCCCTGCTCTGACTCGCTGCCTTCCCTTCCCCTTCAGAGCCCAACACTCTGCCTTACAGACGACCTCTGCACCATGGTACGAAAACAACAGCTTCCAGATTTCCCTGGCATTTTCAAAACAGCAACAAAAATGGTAATTTACTCTCTTACCCTAAAGCAAAAAGGGATAAATTCAGGAACTAGAAGGGGGAGCACAGTACCACATGCAAGAAGTGGAAGAAAAGGAGAAATATTGCTATAGAACGAGAAAAGTCAGAATAAAAATAGAAAGGAAAATAATTTTCAGAGGTTTCCAAGGGTTAATTGCAGTGACATTTACACCCAGCAGGGAAAATAAGTGGGAACAAAACCCCAGGAAGACTCCAGTAGAGGAAAAGAGCTTGCACGTACAACTTAAGATTTTCTTCTCCATGGTGACTTGGTTCAGCATACCAATGCTCAATTTCATCTACGTCTCAAAAGCTCAGATTAAAATTTTCAAACACAAAGGTGCTGAATTTAAAATGCAAGATAACTACCTTAACTCATTATGAAAAAGAAAAACCAACCATCGGCCTAAAATTGATGGCTGTTAGAAGATTATGTTGGTAGCCAAACAACAGCATTAGAAAACAGGATGGCTGCAACCAGTTACATATTTTAATAGTACACATTACATTTTGATGTAAAGGTGAGAAACTAAGTTGATCAATATTAGAAGGAGAAATTATTTTCCTCCTTCTCATTCAGACAAAAACACTGGTAACAGCAGGGAAACCTGTGAAGTATCAGATTCTCAAACACAATTCTACAGATAAGTTTAGTTCAGTATTAATGTGAAAACAGAAAAAAAAAATGTACAAAGTACAACAAGGGTGTAAGATATTAAAAACCCCCCAAAGTTCATAAGGGAGCACACAAGTGCTATTAAAAAGTTCACAGGTAGCAGGATTTCTGAAAGGATATATGAGTAACTAAGTAACTAGACCTAGCAGGCAAAACTGGTGGTAATGGGTGCAAAAGGGAAAGCTAGAAGTATTTAAAAAATATCTGTTCGCCATATTTGAAAAAGACAAGATAATTAAGTACTTTCAAGCCAATTAGTAACTAATAGGAATGTTATACAGCATCTGCTAGGCATAACATTTCAAGCTGGCACATCATACTAGTTTAAGCCCAGCCCTAAAATAATCATTTAACAAGTTCTCCAATCCTGTGACCTTCAATTTTAATAAATTGGAAAACTACTAATATTGCAGAAGACTGAGAACAATATTATGCCAATATTCAAAAATAGCATACGTTTGCTTTTTATAGGCCTTAGTAACTCGACACTGATCTTGGACTAAAATCCTAATACAACCTTTGATTGGAAAGGATGGTTCTGCTGCATCGGACCAAAGGCTCATTCATCCCAGTGTCCCGTCCCTGACGGTGGCCAGTTACAGACACACAGGGAAGCAGAAAATCAAAGCGAATACCTAACACTTCTTGTGGCATATTCCACTAACAAAAGCAGAAAATTAGAAAAGAGATGAAAGTGACTTAAAGGCTAATTTCATAATTATACATCAATGAGGCTGTTTATAAATCTACTCGGCACACACTTGGAGGTACAAGAGGAACTCCATTGTGAAAACTTTCTACCTGGATGAATAAATAGGTGAAGTAAAAGAGCAAATGATTCTCTAACAGGAGAACGCCTAAGTAAATATTTGCATAGATAAGACAGCTAGAGGGACATTTCATTGTCAAGTTCTAAAATCTGTGAAATCTTTGATCCACTCTTCCAACCCTGTAGGCATACATTCCTCTTCCGAATGTCCTAATCTTCACCAGTGGGGTGGGTGACAGGAGGGAAGAAAAAAAATCATACTTAAACCATCAGTTCTTCAGGCTTTTAACCAGAATCTCCCCAGATCTGAGACTTTGAGAAGTCCTTCCTGCAAAGGCAGGTGAACAGGACTGCAATTTGACAGGACCAGAGCCAAGAGCTGGGAGCCAAGAAGTGTGACCGAAAGAAAAAAAGTCACTCAAAGAGAAAAAGCCCAAAAGCGGTACATGTGCAATGCCATGAGAACAGGTGAGCTGCAATTTGAGTTAGGGACCCTAATTACAAGCCCTGTTTTGTAAGGGAGTCTGTTTACAGCGGGACAGCCACAGTGATTTCGGAGATTTCTCAGATTTCAGTTCCTGCCTCGCTGCTCTTGTGTCAGCTGCTGAGCCATCACGGCACAGAGCCCGTAGCTAGAAGATGAGCCCCCTCCGATTAAGGTGTTGCCTTTGGGGTAGGATGAATCTAGGGTGTACATTTTGGTGACCAAGTTGCTGCTACACAGGCAATAGGGCTATCCCTGGAACAAGGCTCAGACACTCTCAGATCAGAAACATCAGAGCTGCCTCTGCTCACAAAACAGCATCATTAGTGAGCCATGGTGAGACGTTTAGATCTGCTTAAAAATGAAAGCAGAGAGCTGGAGATGGCTACAAACTCATACATACGTAATACCCTGAGAGAAAGCTACCCATATTTTCAAGTGTCTACCCAAAAGCTGTTCAAACAAACTCACGGACACTTGTACCACCACTGTACAGTCTTCAAATGAAAGTGCTACCAACTTCTGCTACCAAAGTGAGGCTTCTTACAGCAAAACCATCTTCCATACAGTTGCCAGTTGTTTTTTGACTGAGTGTGCTCTGCAAGATATGGTGGGTAGGAGTACATAAGACTATATGATGACTTCCTTTGACCTTGTATTGCCTTCAACAATACTCCAGGAACTGAAGAAAAAAA